CATTCAGCTTAAATAATGGAAATAGAACTTCCGGTACAGGTAGGTACAACACGCTGCTGCGGCACCTGAAGGATATGTCATTCTTCTCCAAAATACCTTTTCAAAACAAAAAATACCTTTTTTAAACTCTCTTTTGGCCCAGATGCATCCTGTTTGTAGTCTCTTGAAAATAAACATAGTTATTTAGTATTTGTTCAAACTCGGTCGGGCTTTTTAACGCCATATTTCATTTTTGTGCTTAATACCTGCCTTTACTGGCCTGTGAGCCTGGAAAAGTGACATCAATGCCAAAAATGACTAGAGAGTGTTGGTGCTGATGTAGGAATTTGAGATGTGTGCTCTTGCTTTGCAACATTTGTGTGAAAAACTGAACGCTTTTTTCTGTTTAAATAGGAACTCAAACTTGCTGCCTCACGACTCCGTTATTTGCAAATTGTCAAAAGACTTGGGGTTGTCCCAGCAGAGGGTATTGGGTAACACTAATATAGCACTTGGATTTCTTGGCTGGCTCAAAGCAGTAGGGCTTGCCCTGAAATTCTTTGTTGTAGAAGCTTGCCTGGATGGTTTGCTTGAGGAAATTGAAACAGGAAATGTCTAATTTGGATCTGGTTTCACTTACTGTCCTGCACTGATTCTGCTTGCCTTCTGAAAGGAAGATGTTTGCCCGTGTGCCAAAAGCGACGTAGGGAATCCCAAAACATCGCCAAAGAATCTCTGTTGGTTTACTTTCCTGTAGGAGCATCTGCTCGTACCCTTTCCTGCAGGAAAGCCTATGAGCGATTCTTTGCGTTTAAAACTGTCAATGACGTGCGTTCTCATTCCTGATTTCTTAATCTGAGGGGTTTAATTTCTTCTGAAACACCTCAACCAGAATGATCTTGCATGGGAGGAGAGTCTGTGTTTGCGATGAGCCGCGCTGCTGAGCAGGAGTCATGCCCAGACCCAAGTGCCTGAGAGCTGCGAAGCCTTTTTCTCTCGGTTTTGATCAGTGAGCTTGCCCGGATGCCCAAGCTCCGCACGTGGTAGAGGAACGATAAGTTTCTGCCTCACATAAATGGTTCAACCTGAGTTCAGAAAACACTTGTTATTTACACTGTTGATGTGCTTCAGGGAGGCTCTACTTCTGGAGTGTAAAACATGCTCTTCTTTGCTTTGAGGGTGCAAAATACAGCTTGAGTGTGTTCCAGTCATTAAATGGTCTTCTGCAAATAGCGTTACATTGTTTTTTCGAAGATGGAGGTCCTGCGCTGTAGGTCTGATTCTGTAGGTCATGAGGCAGCAGATGTACGTGTCCCTCGGTTGTGAGCATCTGCCCATAAAAGGTCTGCAGCTGTACTGGTGGCTTTTGTGTTGCTCTGGTCTCATCTTTGGTTTTTTTCCTGTTCAGTCCCTTGAGCACGTAAAGCCATAATCCTTGCTAAGAGGGCAGATACTTCTGCTCCCAGTTTCTAATACAGCTAATAAATTGATAGCTAATTGTTAATTGAGCTCCACATCAGGATAAAAGTTCAGAGGATTATGAAGTTTATCCAGCTGCTTTTCAGCTACAAGGGTTTATTGTCAGGAGGAGGAAAATCCTATAAAACCTTCCCTTTGATCGCTGGTGCCAAATTCTTCCCTTGCCCCTGCTGTGAGGGCAGTTGCTGCACACCAGGCACCACGTGCGTGAGGATCAGAACTGGGAGTTCTGCAGAACAGGGCAGAGAAACCAGGTGATCTGGTGCTTTTTCCAGCTGTCACATCCCAAAATACCACTTAAACAAAGAAATAAGACCCCTTAAACTGAGGTGTGGGGAAGAACCTTGCCTACACAACGCTCTGGCCACTTCATTTAATCTGTGTGCTTAAGTAGAGTGTTGTGTTGGAGGTTTTATTCACCCGTTTGTCCTTGATGGAGTAATTCTGGTAATGATACTTGATCCCTTTTTACGAGTAAACATGTGGCACGAAGCCATCGCAGCGCTTGACCCATCTGTGCAGGCTGGGTGTGTCTTCTCCTCTTTGCATTGACTCTTAGACAAGTTCCTTCTCACTTCTCTGATTTTAACGTGCAGCTCCCTGTTATGAACTGGATCCTGCACTGGCTTCAGTTTGACTCCTGTCAGAGTCACAGAAAATGTTTGTTATTATTACTTTTTTAGTTAAAATATCCCAAGAATTTCTGACTGGACAGTTTGTGCCTGTCCCTTAGAAGCTGAGGCTGGGCATAGCAAGTTCCAGGAAATCCTGCGTTCCTCCCAGGCAGTCTGCTCTGTCCTCTTGATTGCAAACTTCCTTGTGGGTAAATAACAGCTTCTCTGGTGCTTCTTTTTCTTCTCCGTGTTTTGTGATGTTAGGGCTCTGCCCCTGAAAAGTTCCTGAGTGGAGTTTTAAGGTGCAGGCTTTGAAAGGTGGAGGATGAAATTGGAACTGTGCTTTTGATTTAGTTGGCCTAGGGGCCAGTAACAAAAATCATTAAGTACGTGTCAAGATGTTAACAGCGTAGACTGTTTGATGTCGGTGTGCAGTTGCCTTCTAAGCAAACTCTTTTTCTTATTTATTTTTTTTCTTCAACAAATTTGTCAGCTAAAAATGTTTGCCTGTCGAGCGATGATACCGCTCTGCCTTAGGGGAATTCACAGCTTGGTGGGAAGTGGAAGTGGGACGTGGGGCTCCTGGGCTGAGCGGTGGCCCAGAAAGCTCCCCTTCTTCCCCAAACTAGAAATTGAGATTTTACCCAAATCCCCTTCCCCTGGCCAAGCAGACTCCTCTCAAATCCGTGTTCAGATGTCATGGGCTGTGTGAGGACAACCTGTCTGGATGTGATTTTGAAGCTCAGTGCTGTGGATGTTAAATTCTATTTCTTTTTATTAATGAGGCAGTGATTCTTCTGAGTCTTTAATTGGAATAACTTTTTCACAAGAAGAGAAGACTTGATGAAACTCTGCGTGCTTTATTTACCCATAATGGTTGAAAGCATTTAGAAGTCACAAAAGGAGGGCAGGGATATCACGGCTTTGGGTTGATGTACCTGGTCTCTGAATTGTTGCAAAGTTTTTGTTTTCATCTTTCACTTATACCACGGCTTCTCTTTAAGTAGATAAAAAGTGATGCATTGGTTTTTTTATATATGTGTATATGTGATATATGTAATTTTATAATAATATGTAATAATTATATAGTTTTAACTTTTTATATATTAAAAATTGTTTAATGTAGACTAAATTGAAGTTACCCTGGCTTCCAAAAGCTTGAGCAGGTATACCTGAGGAGATGACAATTCATGGGTCAGCAGAATGGGACATTTTGACCTGCATTTCAGTGAAACTTGGGTTTTTAAGCTTTATTTCTAGTTAGGCAGCTGATCTTTAAACCTTGGTTTGAGTTTCAGTTTAGAATGATGTAGACTTGCCACGCCAAGAGGTTGTAAGTGCCCTCACCTTGATTTGTTCTAATTTGTTTTTCCCATCTGTAATTTCTTGCAGCTTCAAACACTGATTCAGGAAACCGACCCCGGAGCAGATTATCGCATCGACCGAGCGCTGAACGAGGCCTGCGAGTCGGTGATCCAGACTGCCTGCAAGCACATACGCTCCGGGGACCCCATGTAGGTGGCTCTTGGGTAAAAACTGGGTTTTGTTTCTCTTGGACATCCATGAAGATTGTTTGCCTTTAGTTAGAGATACTAAAAACTCATCCAGAAGCGATGGACTCCAAACTAGCAAATTCAGGTCGAACTCTGTCTTCCTTCTTGCTGGATCAGCAGGCTTTTATTTTCATATCGGGGCTGGTTTAGCACTGCTGAAGGTTGGAGCTATCTCAGGTGCCTAGATGAAATCTGTAATGCTGTACCAAGTTCTCTCCCTGCATAAGGCTTTAGAGGTATCACAAAGAGAAGTAACAAGCCTTGAAAGGCTGGTTAAGGAGACCTTTACTGCAGAGACACGTCTCCTTTATCTTCAGGTCTGATATATCCTGTCTTGTAAGCCAAACTTAAGATATTCCTTATGATTTTGTCATGTATCAGATTTGCTGAGATAAATAAAACAATGGAATTTAAGAGGGTACAAATGTGACGTGCAGTTGCTTTAGCTGTCATCTTTTTGAAGGAAGAGAAAGATGTTTGCTGTGTTTGAACATCTCACCAATCTTTCCAACAAACCATAGATTCGACATCACGAACTCTTGCAAGGAAACTCAGCATGATTCTACCAATCCATTGCTTAACTTTTTTTTTTTTTTTTCCCTTCTGTTTGCAGGATTCTGTCTTGCCTGATGGAGCACTTGTATACCGAGAAGATGGTTGAGGACTGTGAGCACAGGCTCCTGGAGCTCCAGTATTTTATATCTCGTGATTGGAAGTGAGTGTTGTAAAACGAGATTTGTCCTCGCTTGACGCTTGTATTTCGTGTTTGTATGCGTTAGCGGTTCCTTGTAAAACAGTCCAGCTTGTCCAACAGAGGACTTCTGAGCGTGCCAGGTCTGGAGGGCGTTAATGCCTGTGTAGAACAGTAGAACCAAAAAGCCGCTTTAAAAAAGTGTGTTGCCCACTTAAATCAAGTACTCGCATGGAAATTACGCAACCTGAAAAAGCGTTTTGAGTTGGAACTTTCTCTTCTGGCCGTACTGAAGTTGAAGGTCACTTTCTGTGCAGGTGGCAGCCTGTAGCAGGAGCGCTACAGTGTGCTACCCGGTACAACAAAGAGCCACTGGGTTAGAGGCTCTCTGCCTCCACTTCTGCCTTTTTTTTTGGTTTGGGGGTTTTTTTTCAAATTCTGTAGGTGTGGTTACAGCCTGTAAGACAGATGCAGTTTCCTTTGGGGCTCTCCTTTTCCAACTTTCTCATCCAAAGGTGGCAGTGCTTTGTTTTAAATATGTACAGAACACCCCTGCCTGTGTGGGTTATTAAGATGAGGAGAGTGTAGATTTTGAAAAACGTGACCAGCGAGGGAAGAATAAGGTGGTGTTTGGCTTTTCTTCTGACTAAGGTTGGGAGATGAGGGAGTACCTTGAATGAGGTTACTGCAAGAAATGGAATATTTTTTTCTGGGTGACCACAAGGAGTGGGTTTTGGTTGCTGCAAAGGGTATTCAAATCAAACATTAAGGAAATCTGACTCATCTGTGGGCGGCATTGTCAGGGGTTAAGAGCTGACGTGCTCTGTGAACCTTCTGCTTCTCTAATACACAGACCTCATGGGCCAGAGAGTTTAGCAGTTCAGGGCTGTTTATTTAGTCATCTCCATAGGTAGACAGGAATACGTAATTTATTTATTTTTTCCCTCCTCTTCCTGTTTCTCTTCATTGCTGGTTCTCCTGCCTGTGCCATGTTTCCAGCAGGGAGTTCGTTGCTCGAGCCAAACTTAAGTGACTGGAAGGAGGAAGGCTGAATATTTGCATTTTTGCTTGGAGTAAAGATAATTCTGATTTGTCTTGCAGGCTTGTTTAACTATTGTTTCCTAGGACTAGCTTGTAAAAATTGCATTAACTGTGCACCTAGCACAGATGCACAGAGTAGAAACGGTTTTATTACTACCTTTACCATTATCTCTATAACTGTGTCTGCTAATATCACTTGATATTTGCTTTCTAAAGTGTTGTAGAAATCTGAATTTTCCATTTGGGAAGGTTGGCAATATCTCACGTAGCTTTAGTGTAATCTTAAGACGTCATCTTAAGACATCTGTGCTTGCAGTTTTCTTGTCTGCAGAAGCGAGAGATGCTGAGTGTTCAGTCAGCTCAAATCCAGAGCTGACAATAATCTAACTTGGATTTTTATGAAACCGCATTTGAAAATGCAGCAGCACAAAGTACACCTAAGTTATTATACAAGCAAAATGGGGTACATACCTGCCTTGCTGCTGCTTGTGGACACCAAGGAGGTGTGATCTCTTTTCTCACGTGTCAGTGTTTGGCTGACGTGCTGCAGAAGAGCACGGGAGGTGCTTCAACAAGCGCGGAAGACTTACTCTGTAATTAAAGACCTTCATGTATTTTTGCAAAATTAGGGAGTTGATTCCAAACAGAGGGACAGACATTTTGCCACCTGTAGGTTCCGTTGGTTAGGCCCTGCTGCTGAATGGTGTGGGGGAGCATAACACTTGTAAAGTGGGTTTTGCTGCCTCAGAAGCATTTCAGAAGATGAAGAGCGTTAAGGGTGCCTAGCGATTAACATTTCTGTTTGCAGATTGGATACGGTCCTTTACCGCAAGTGCCAGGGAGATGCCTCCCGCCTCTGCCATACCCACGGCTGGAATGAGACCAGCGAGCTGATGCCCCCAGGGGCTGTTTTCTCCTGCTTGTACAGGCACGCCTACCGCACAGAGGAGCAAGGAAGGAGGGTAAGTGATGAGGAGCCTCTGGTACTGCTCCGTCATCTGGGGCAGAAGGGTTGTACGCGCGTTTGGAAGTTGGACACGCTGTGCTAAAACTGCGAGAACTCGCAAAAGCTACTTAAAGGCATTTATTGTAGGTGGTGTGTGCACTGATTTGGAATCCCAGCTCCTCCTCAAGTGTGCTTTCTAGGTCTGTGATGGTGCTCTGGTAAGGCTAAATAGCCGCGTCGGGATGTGACATTTGCCCGCAGGGGGAACTCCGTGCTGACAACGTACATGTCTCTGCTGAGGCGCAGCGCAAGTCCTCCCCCTTGTCTTTCCCAAGAGCGGTGTGATTCCTCTTAGGGAGCTGACGTAGCTGCACGATTGGTTTCCTGCAAAAATCCAAGCCCAGCTTTCCTAGGCTGCTTCTAATTAAGTTTAGATTTGAGCACAACTTCAGATTACACTCCATTAAAATCTCCCTATTGATGTAAAACATCCTTTCAGATCTTCGCAGCATGATGTACTGGTAAATGTGCTCGTGCTGTCTTCAAAGAAGACAGTAGGGATCTGGATTGCTGTCCTGCAGTCTGAAGATCCACCGTAATCACATTTGTTTGGTTCAAAACTACTCTTCTCAAGTTTCTTTTCTCTCAAGTTTTTTATTTCTCTTCTGCCTTGAAAGTAGCTGAGTACTTGTTCCCATTTCTTTTGGGCTTCTAGTGTACACAGCCTCTAGGACTTGGTGGGTTTATGCAGTGGCCTGGCTTAAAAATTCCTTTCTGCTGCTCGATTTAAAGGTCCTCTGCAGCAGAGGTCAGGTATTGATTGAAAGCATCTCTCTTTTAGGAATTTATATTTTTTTAATGCGGTTTCTTAGTCTGCTGAGTTGAGACTTTTAAATTCCATTTTATATTAGTGCTGACCAAAGAAATCAATAGCCGCCCTGCAAATAATCTATTGGAGAGAGAAAAGACTTTTAAATGTGTTTTTCTTGTGCAAAACAGGCTAAGGGAGCAGCTGTCTTTTTGAAATTCAACGTTTAAAAGCAAACTCATCACAGGGTAGATCTGCAATTTTTTCCAGCACTGTTCACAAAATGCTAGGTAACTTCCCGTGGTTTGGGTTTTTAAATATGTTGAGTTTTTAACCGGTACATTTTAGCTCTGACAAGCACCATACCAGCATCTCTTGATTGTTCTACAACTTGTTACTTCTTCAGTCTTGGCAAATGCTGGCTCTGAAGTGCTGCAATGGGAACTGCTGAGAAGAAATTACAGCTGGGCTGCGCTGCCTCATTCTGGGCTTCCCTTTTGGTACAGGGTGCATGAGCTGGTTTGACTTTCTGCTCCAGAAGCCATCTGTAGCTTTGAACGAAAGGGGCAGCGCAGCAGGTAATCTAGGGGCCTCCTTTGACGTCTCATTTCGAAAGCAAAGGGAAGGTTTACGAATATAAAACTTACTTTAGTGGAATGCAGAAAGCCTCCATCTGAACTGATTGACAGATCATCAAACTCCTTGGGAGCCTGGATCGTGCTGAGCAGCTTCTGCAAGTTCTGGGATTGCTGATGGCGTTGCTGGTCACCCGTAGTGATCTTGTCTGTGTTGTGTGGATTTAGAGACCCCTCCCTCATACACTAAAAGCTCTTTGCCCTCTTTGCAGCTATCCCGGGAGTGCAGAGCCGAGGTCCAGAGGATCCTCCACCAGCGTGCCATGGATGTGAAGCTGGACCCAACCCTCCAGGACAAGTGCATGATTGACCTGGGGAAGTGGTGCAGTGAAAAAACAGAGACGGGGCAGGTGCTGTGTGCCGTGATGCTGCTCATTCATTTGCAAAGCTGGAAGGGTGGCAAGGGCAAAAAAAAATGGGATAAAGCGACATATTGTTGTTAGCTGTCTCTCTATAGTCCATAACACATTAAAGACACATGCAGTTTGAAACAATCTGCAATAGATTGAAAGACAGAAGTGAAATGAAGAAGCTTTGCAGCTACTGCGTGTCTTCAGTAGGTTCAAATCTGTAGTGAAATGAGAAGGAGGAAGAGGATAATTAAAATCAAGAACTTCAGTGAAGCCGCCCCACTCTGGGTCTCGTTTGTAGAACTCTTATTACAAGCTTGACATTTCCCACATAAACTTTACCCCCTTTCCATTTGGCAAATACTGACGTGCTTCCTGTGTTTATACAGAGCTGAACTCACATCTGCTGCTACTTAACCAAGTTTCAGCAAATACTCTTGTGTTCAATTGCTGTGTCCTGGTGTAGCTGTAGGGGAGGAGCCAGTCAGCAGCAGACGCAGGAGAGCATGTTGCTGTCTTTTTGAAGTGCCCATTGTAGGTCGTAGCTTGGGTAACGAGCCTCTCATTAAGGTAACGTGAAGGGCAAATTGTGATATTCCAGAAGTGAGAGCACGTCGTGCAGCTTTTGAGAACGAGCAGGAACATCCTAGACCCCCTTTCTCAATCACTAATGCTTAGATGTGCTCTGGGAGTGCCAGCAGAGGAGTGGGATTAGATGAGACTTGGGACTTCACAAGGAGGAGGAGGGCAGTTTCACGAGTGTTACGGTGTTTCAAGTCCAAATTTTCCAATTGGGTTCTTGGGTTGCAAACTAAAATATCTGGTTTCGTAGGAGCTGGAATGCCTGCAGGACCATCTTGATGACTTGGTGTCTGATTGCAGAGACATAGTGGGAAACCTCACTGAGCTGGAGTCCGAGGTGAGCACTTCTGAGCCTGGGATAAAGGGGAATAGTTGAGCTTGTCTAAGTGTGACATTGTGATAGCAATGGAAAAAAGTGGGGTTAGAGTAGCTGCAGAAATGTAGCCCTCTGGCATCAAGCAGAGACCATCTGTTCTACCCCATACAACCTTTTCCTCTGGAGCTCTTGAAGAGAATTGAACAATAGCTCAGGTTTTTAGGCTGGTGATGACATTTCTCCTGCTTAAGCTTTATGAAGCTGCGTATTTGACTGTCTTGCCCTAAGCTGTTCCCCATATCTCTTAAAATTTACATTTGGTGCTAGGGAAAGCTTCCATCCAGCGGTTACAAAATTGTTTGCTCAGAACTATCATTAATCTTTAAGCTCCTGCCTAGGTGTAAGGTGATTTCTAGTGCTGTCGCATCCATTTTGGAGAAGTTTGACTGGAGTGCCCAAGCAGTGAGTTACTGTGGAGACCAAGCTCTTCCCTTAAGCTGGAATGCTCGCCTTGCTTTTGCCACGTTGCTGGCGAGAGTCAACCCTAGGATTTCCAGAGCTGAAGGGCAAAGCCGTCTGGATTGAATCTTGGAAAACCCTGTAAACTGGGTTGTTTATCGTATTATCCTGGGTATTTTCTGAGAGCCTATTTTGCTTGCCTGTTCACTGTGAGAAATCAAATATTGCGTCTTTCCTGCAGGACATTCAGATTGAAGCCTTGCTGATGAGAGCATGTGAGCCCATTATCCAGACGTTCTGTCATGTGAGTACGATGTGGTAGTGCGAGTATCTTCGGGGGAGAAAACGCTGTGTAGGACAAGTTAGAGAGTTTTAGTATTAGTCTTCTGTGTACTTGCTACACTTCCAAATAAAATCAGAGTTAAGCAGTTACAAGAGTCTTTAATTAAAAAAAAACACTCTTAACCAAAAATTCTTAGTTCCTTCCTAGTACTTCTGCTGTTGTCAGAGTCCAGCACAAAAGCTAGAGGTTTAGGGATGAAGATTGCCCTGTAACTGGAAACCCCACTCTTTACAGTGGGTTGCAAACTAAACGTTTTTCCTTCCCCCTTGCCTGCAAGCGCCATATCCAGCCGCCCCGCTCTGTGCAGCTGCTCAGCATTGCTGAAATAACTTTTTACGTTGCTCTGGGACTGAGTAGTTACACAGCAATGAGAGCAACTGACTGTCGTACTTCATGTAAGCACCGTGTGTTCTGAGCCTACAGCGTGGCTGTGCCCGAGAGGGTTCTTTTCTGGACTATATGTATAAATACTTGCGTAGTATAACTCAGGTCAGGTAGTGGTGAGTCTGAGCTCAGAGTAGGGTGAGACTGTAAATTCCAACATTTCCTGGTTGTGATGGGCTAAAGGAGCCTAAAAATCATGGTTTGCTCTAGTAGCTCGTTACTAAGCCTTTCATCTCTTCTTCAGGAGGTTGCCGATAACCAGATTGATTCTGGGGACCTGATGGAGTGTCTGATACAGAACAAACACCAGAAGGAAATGAATGAAAAATGTGCGATTGGAGTTACTCATTTCCAGCTGGTAAGCAGCACTTGGCCATCGGTGGAAGCTTGTTCTGGTCCTTGAGGGTGTTGACAGGAATTAGCTAATTACGAAACCCCTCTTTCTTTGAGATTGATTTCCTACTGCATGTGAAGTGCTCTTGTGAATTCAGTTGTACTTGCACGCCTGGTCATAAATGGTCACTTCTGGAGATGATTTATTGTCCTTCCTTCCTGGCATGTGCTAGTTGGAGTCCCAGCTTCTTCAGCAGTGCAGTGTTCTCCCTTGCTTCCACATTAATAAGTTGTGGACAAAAACATTTGCTGATTGCGTGATTCGACAAGTTTTCTTGGGGACAGCACTTTTTTTTAATTTTTATTTTTTTCTTTTGCCTCCAGCTGATGGAAGTTGTTTGGTTTTGTTGTTTTTTTCTCTTGCAGGTTCAGATGAAAGATTTTAGGTTCTCATACAAGTTTAAAATGGCTTGCAAGGAGGATGTGCTGAAACTTTGCCCCAACATCAAAAAAAAGTATGTAGCACCTGACCAAAGAGCAATCTTATTACATATTTAAGCTTTATTACATATTTATACAATATTTCAGGATAGGACAGCAAATGCTGCACTTTATTGTTCTGTGTGTTGTCCCTTAGTGAATGCATTGTGCAGGTGCTTAAGACAGAGGCATTGTCTGCCTTTTTGAAATTATTTCTCCTTTACTCTTGCATACAAGCTCATCCTCTTTAGTTTTCTTGCTCTGGAAGTAGCTAGTGGTTACAGTTAGCAGGCTGCATGTCCCAAGATGATTTTATATCGTTGTCCTCTAAGATGCAGGCTGCTGTTGTTCCACTTGCTGAGCTGGGATGGGAAAATCACCCACTCGTTTTGACTGGTTTACTCATTTCAGCATAAAGGTTTTCTTAATGCCTGCTACAATGACGTAAGGGTAAATGACACACAAGGTCAGTCCTGTTTGTGGCTAGCAGCGCTATTTGCATTTTATGATATGAATGTCCTTCCGATAGTGCAAAAGGATCGCCTGCGATGCTGCGTAGGTATTCACCTTCGTCTCTTCCCAAGATTAAGTCAAGCTTTTCTGAAGTGCTCGCGTGATTTAAGAGCAGAGGTCTTGCTGAGCAGGAGTGTGGTGATATTTCAGATACCTTCCTGACTGCTGATCTAGGCTCCAGTTAGAAAGGGTCAGATTTAGCTTTTAATTGTGATCCAGTTACTCCGTAGAGAGCTGGACCCAGGCTAGAAGTAAGCACAGATGCATGAGGACTTTGTGTTGCGTTTGGATTCTTGGTTTCTCTGATATGGTGATCCAACACTGGTCTTGACTGATCTAAACAAAAGGGCAGAGGAGTCAAAAAGCTGTTTTCTTTCCTGCAGGGTGGATGTAGTGATCTGTCTGAGCACAACTGTGCGCAACGATACTTTGCAGGATGCCAAGGAGCACAGGGTCTCTCTGAAGTGCCGCAAACAGCTGCGTGTTGAGGAGCTAGAGATGGTAAATATGCATGAAACTCTTGATCTGCCTGCTCTTCTAGCAAGGTTCTTCAATTAAAGCTTCCTAGTTTGTCCACTATGGGGGGGGGAAATAAAAAAGCAGCTCATTTTTAAGATGTGTATAATTTATTTTTTCCACTCTTCTTATGACACCAGGCTCAACTGTCCTTCATGGTGAAAGTAATGTGTGTGTACTTTAATGCCTTAAATACAGCTTTGTGAAGGCTAAGGCAAGCTAAACGGTCATTGGAATTTCAGCTAGAAGTGATTATGTTTAGTGTAAGCAATGTGCTACACATGCTGATGTCCTCTAGGAGAGAACAAAAGCTTCATTTGACACACTCGGGAAACAAGCCCAGATGAAGCAACTCGATTCCAGCTGCTCTTAAGTTGCTCAGTGGTTAAACAGAAGTAGTATTTGTTCTGGTAGGCAAGGCTGCCTCTCAGCTTCCTGCTGCAGTGCTTGCAGCAATGAACTCCTAGTGTCTTCATCCAGGAGATATTGTTGGAGTGTTTAAACTTCACCTTAAGGAAGCCCATATCAGAAGAGGCAGCGTTCTTGTCCTTGTAGGGAAGAATTCAAATGCTGGGCATCGCTAAAAGCAGGAAACTTCATTCGCGTCCTCCCAGTCACCCAGGAGATGGGTGGCTATTGATATGTCAGCATTAATATTAATTAATCAGCTTTCACGTGAAATTGTTGTATTGGGCATCTCTGTTCATGCCCTTTTAGGAGGAGCAGTGGAAACAAGTGGCCAACAATAAAATTCAGTTTAAACCCCTTCTTCAACATACTAAAAAAATAAACTGATCCACTACACAGGCTTGCAAAGTTGGTTTCCCACCAGCACCGCTTCTCATACCCAAGACTCTTAAATTCAAAGAAACTGTCCTGCCTCTTGTGGGAGTTGCTTTTTGTGAGTAGAAGGCTCTAGTTAATAGATTAGCAAAGTAAAATAGACTTTAGAGTTCTGCTTAAAAGTTCATGTTTTAATTTATCCCACAGACTGAGGATATCAGACTTGAACCAGAACTGTATGAGGCTTGTAAAAGTGACATCAAGAATTACTGCCAAAACGTGCCCTATGGCAATGCTCAGGTAATGGATCTTATTAATAATTGACAATTTAATTTGTACTTTCATTTCAGAAAACTGTTGAAGAACACTTTTGCCACTCGGAGGGCAGCTTTAGATTTTCGTTTTGCTATCGCTTGAAGTATTTCATCTGTATTTTGGAATGTTAATTTATTTTTTTTTCCCACTGGTTCACAGGCATTGATACAGGGTGAATGCAATGCTGTGAGCATTTCACTCTGGTTAATGCTGCTTGTAAGCTACTAGCAGCTGGCTACTGCAAACATTGCCAAAGATTTCTTAGCCACGGTGTGTGAAAAATGAGGTTTGGGGTTTTGGAGTAAGTCTGGGTTGACCCTCTTCATCTCACTAAATCTTTGTGAAGAAAGATGAACTTAAGCAAGTCTTGGGTATAAGCATTGGTGATGACTTTCAATGAAAAAAATCTGAGCGTTGTGAACTTAAACTGCACAAATCAGGTGAGAATAGATCTGTCAGGGGAGCAGATGCTGCTCAGAACGCACGGCCACGTGACAGAATCCTACCAACAATGTGTCTGTTGTAGATTATTGAGTGCCTGAAAGAAATCAAGAAGCAGTTGAGTACCCGGTGCCACCAGAAGGTGTTTAAACTGCAGGAGACGGAGATGATGGATCCAGAACTGGACTACACGCTCATGAGAGTCTGCAAACAAATGATCAAGGTAATGGCAGTGTGGTGATTTTAGAGGGAGGTTGGGATCTAAGAGCTTTATCGATTCTGAGCTTCCCGTAAAGGCTTGTTACAGGCCTGCCCTGTTTTTTCAGAAGTCTGGTTGCTTCTTTTTTTGCAAAGTAATGAATTAACTCTGCGTCAGGCTGAGGTTCCTTCAGGGCTCTTCTCTTTTTCAACTTTCCTTTCTCCAAATACCTGATCAAAGCCTGTGCACTAATAAATTTGTCTTCTTGACTGTCAGCAGAATGGAGGAGGGAGTCTGTGCTGAGACTTCTAACGGGTTTTTATCCCGTTGGCTTGGGTTCGATTGGCTTTTAGCGAAGGTGAAGAAGTTATGATCACAGAGAGGAGTTGGTGTTCAGCTCGCTACTGACCTGGTGCACACAGACTGATAAAGTGGGCAAAATCCTGCGAAACTTAAAATTAGAAATGCTGGCTTAAAGTGTTATCGCGTGGGGAGCAGCAGAGAGTGTTAATACAACATCCTGAAAATTTGTTGCTCTCTAGTACAGACTCATGCTTCAAAATACAAAAAAAAATTTTAAAAAGACCCATAATTTCACCAAAACGGTGAGAATTTGAAAATATAACAGCCTTATCTCATACCCACAGAATTAGTTTCTAACATAAGAAATTAGTACCTTGGTCTGAATTTGGGGCAAGGTGTTTCACTTTTGACTAGTTTAGGGTGGGAATGGACAAATCGGTACCAGTGATTCGTTCTCTGCTTTCTCATTCTGTATGGCCTTGCTTTGTCCTGAGTGTCACTAAGGGGTTTTTTTTGAACATTTTTTTTTCTAGCGGTTTTGTCCAGAGGCAGACTCAAAAAATATGTTGCAGTGTTTGAAACAAAACAAGAACAGTGAAGTGATGGATCCGAAATGCAAGCAAATGATTACCAAGCGTCAGATTACACAGAACACAGGTATCGTCTTCTGAAAAAAACCCCAAACTCAAACACAAAAACCCCAAACCTCACCTGCCTGAGCTGTTGAGTGGTCTGCGCGGCTGGAAGAATATGTGCTTTGTTTTATTCTTCGGGTTTGTCAGTGGACGCACTGGTTTTATTCAGTCAAATTCTTGCATTGCTCGATCCGCTTCATTCCTGAAGCTCTTACCTCACGAGTTAGTGCTTTTTCGCTACAGAATTCTCATTTCCCCTCCCCCCAAATTAGATTTATTGCTGGTACAACATCACCCCGAAAATTCCTGTCAAATTTTATGTTGAGGTGTTGTGTTCTGTAATCCCAAGAGATGCGTGCTCTAACCAAGTTGTGTCCTCTCCTCCGCTTAGATTACCGCTTAAACCCAGTGCTCAGGAAAGCGTGCAAAGCAGACATACCGAAATTCTGCCAAAATATCCTGAATAGGGCCAAGGATGATACCGAGTTGGAAGGGCAAGTCATCTCGTGCCTGAAGTTGAAGTACGCAGACCAGGTGAGCAGAGGTGGTGGATGCAAATGAGAAACCGTACGGGCTTGTGCTGAGCAGCACTCGTTGAACAGCAAATGAAATTTGGGGCTCTGGTGCGTTCGATATTCGTTAAATGAGTTTTCACGCTCCCCTACGAGTGCTACAGAAGACGCGGGTTAGAGTGCAGGGTGATTGATTTTATGAAAATAAAGGCCATCGAGTGGGTTAATGACTTTCTCTGCTTAATAGCGTCTCTCTCCAGACTGCGAGGACCAAATTCGCGTGATAATCCAGGAATCGGCTCTTGATTATCGGCTGGATCCTCAGCTTCAGATGCACTGCTCTGAAGAGGTAGGAGAAGGATGGAGGAGGATGAAAACTCCCTTCATGGAGCAGCTTTTGTTTATTAAAATATGAACTATCTGGCTGATTAAAACAAAAAGAACCCCAAACCTTTAACTGCTTCCTGCTCATCAGGTTCTCTGCTTGTGATTGATTTATTTTATTTTTTTTTGTGCAGTATGCAAGGACTGCAGTTTGCTGTGCAGTGCTGATACCAAGTTAATTTTTCTGATCGGGATCTCATCAATACTTGTGACTGAGGAAAAAATACTGTTTTCCTGTTGTAATGTGCTAGTTCTCTGCCCTTGCAATCTTAACTGGAATACAGGCAGATTTGTTGAGTTTTGCTTTTGGAGAGCCACATCAGGCAGGCCTCAAGCATTGCTTATTTCACATCCTAACATTATTTTTATGCTCTTTTCCTCCCCGCCTCCTTCCTCAGTGCAGCAATATTGACTTTTTGCTGTCGGGTATCGAAGGGTATGCATATTGCATGAGCCAGGCTGCGTTGGGCTCTGGAGATTCTTGGTGGGGGGGAAAAGTATCTTATCGTGGATTCTCTAGCTGTGCCCCGTGATGAACTAATGCTTCGAGATAGAAATATGCCAAAAAGCGGAATGATTGTTGTGAACTGCTTATGTTAAAATACTTTTTTTTTTTCCCAAATAGATCTCCAGTTTATGTGCAGAAGAAGCAGCAGCTCAGGAGCAGACTGGGCAGGTAGAAGAATGCCTGAAAGTGAATCTGCTGAAAATAAAAACTGAAATGTGCAAGAAGGTAAAGGAAATAAATTGCAATGTTCTCTAAAAGGTGTGCCATCCCTGCAGAAAGCTGTGATTTTTTTTCCAGATCACAGACCAGACCATGTTTTAGGTAGTTATGAATCTAGAGCTCTGCAGATTTCCTTACGCATCTTGGTTCTGGCCTGCAGCGATTCAATTCAGTTTCAATTTGACAGTGAAAATGGGGCCGACAGTGCCTCCTTTGCAATTCCAGGCTTGGATCCTTTTTGGTTTATGGTTGCCAGAGTGTCTTGTCGCTAATCTGTTTCCTGTTGCTGTCTCCGTTGCAGGCTCCCAGAGTTCTGTGGCCTGGGGCTCTATCAAGAGTGGCCCCATGGTGCCTTCTTTCAGTTCTAACTGAAGTAACCCTGGCATATTGACTTTATATTTTAGATTAATATGGATATTTTAATGAATATAATCATGGTAACCCTTATAAACCAGGATTTTGAATCCAGCCTAAACCAGTATTCATAGCCTCATCCAGAGACAGTGCTGCTTTTTCTAGTGGTCCTGGATTTAAAACAATGACACACCTCAGAAACGTTGAGCGGTATGAGTTTTGTTCTGTTTTTTTGGTTTGGGGGTTTTTTTTCAGACGCACTTTGTAATTTCCCCCTCCCCAGGAAGTGCTCAACATGCTGAAGGAAAGCAAAGCCGATATATTTGTTGACCCGGTGCTCCACACAGCCTGTGCCCTCGACATCAAACACCACTGTGCTGCCATTCCACCGGGGAGAGGACGCCGTAAGTGCTTGTGCTCTACTCTTATAACCTCTCAGCTGCATTTTCTTACTTTTTTCCTTGCTTTTTTCTTAGTCCTTTAAGGACTAAGGGTGGTAAGGTGGAACAGCTGCAGAGGCTTGTAGATACCACTAGAAGATGGGTATCAAGAAGTCCTGTGTGTCAAAAGCAGGACCTAATCTTCAATCCTGATATAATATCCTTTGCAGCCTTATCTGCAAATTTAATGAGTGCATTTTATGTTGCAGCATTCGCATGTTTCCTGATAACAGTGTGTGATACCAGCTCTGTAACCCTTCTAGAAAATCCTTCCTCAGTTAAATCCCATTGAAAATGAGCTCTTAATACGTATGGAATGAAGTGCATGGACTCATTTTTCAGTGAGGTTTATCTCCCACCCTTTGTCAGCTTCACAATACAACTCCCAATCTTTCTTTTGACAACATTATGTCAGACTGGATCTAAAGCTTCCCTAGAACTAAGCTGCATCTCCTACAGAAATCAGTTTGGTTTTAGAAGATTCATTCTTAGCTCATGCTCTTGGTCATTCTTGCTTTGGATCAGTCTTTGCCCCTAGTTGGCTGCTTCGTTTCAGTACTTTTTACAGATAAAATTAAATTGAAGTCCTTTGATTTTTATTTTTTTCCCCCTTAGCTTAGACATACTGCGGGGTTTTTTATCAGTATTAGTGCGGGTAGGTAATCTTCACTAAGTTCACTTAACAGCTAAAGCCTTTGAGACTTCATCAGCTGTTCCAAGTCTG